TTCGAAGATCCTCGGCCGTTAGCCAATCAAAATCGAGGATCTGCCGGTCCAAATTTGTTGCGGCAGCTATGGTTAATTGGTTAATGTACACTACGCCTACTGCGTATATTTTTTTTGTCGTTTAAAATATAGGCTAGGTGCTAGAAAAAAGATCTTTAGAAAATTTTTATATTATAAATCTTATAATAGATCATAAGAAAATACAAACTTTAAAGAGCTATACTGCAAAATTTTATTAACACAACTACCTTTGTGTCTTAAGTGAAAAAATATCCTAACCTTATTTAAATTGATTTATGTAAATGAAAAAATTATTTTCGTTCCTTTTTCCAGCACTTAGCCCATATGTTAATACTAAGAAATATTTTTCCAGACTTCTTAAATGGTAAAGCCTTCTTGGCTCAGTTGGCAGAGCGTCTGCCTAGTACTACTAGTTGGTCAGCAGAAGGTCAGCGGTTCGATTCCGCTAGAAGGCACATCGAGTTTTTTTTTTGAAAAAAACTCTTTTTTACATTATACTGTATACGTATTTTATAAAAAAAAAGCAAGTACTTATAATAATGTATGTTAATACAGTAATATATCAGATAATCAAATGGCGTGATATCCTAGCCAGTATTCGAGTACTGTTCAAAAAAATTCAATGATTTCTGGAATAGATATTTAAAACAACTTTTATGATAAATGAGTCTCAATCTAAGGGTCATAAAATAGTTGTTTGTATTGTACGTACAAAACATGATGCGGAAATAATTTTTTTGGCTTTTCATGTGACAGGCCAAGAAAGATTTTTCCGGGCTCCTGATACACATGCCGGTAAAAAATCCGATTATCGACAAAAATTTACGTATAACTAAATGTCAGTGGTTAATAAGTATATAAAACACCCCAACGCAAATTTCAGATCATGGAAGAAATTTGTGTTAAAATGGACCAAATTTTATTAGAATATTTAAGCTTAATCTCAGCATTACAAGAACAATGGAAGCAAATTAGTACAAATTTAGGAAGTGTAAGTAAAGGCTTACGAAATAATAACGCAAGCCAATGAATTTTATCAAACTTACGAGAACAAGCTCTTTAGGGTTTTTTTCAACTAGCTCATGCAAAATATACTATGGGTCCTCATAGGTTAAATCAAAACCAATATGATGGAAGAATGCAGGCTACTGCTCGAGTGTTAGTCTTTTTTATTCTATTTATTGAATAAGTTACTCATTTAAACAAAGTGTTGATTCGTATGTTACGACAGGTTGATTTCTCAAAAAAAAGATATCAATATGCTTAACACGCCAAATGAATTTATTTGTCAGTATACTTTGACTAGTCTTGAAGGAATCGCGGATAGCCAAGAGGATAATGATTCCCCATCCCTTCGTCGGCGTGTGATAAAAAACCCTGAAAATGATTTAACAAAGAAACGATCACAAAGCCGCAGTGAAGATCCATTGCGCTGGTTTGGTATTTTGGTTCCATCATCCTTAAGAGAGTCTCAAAGGCACTTCAAACAAAGTAATTCTATAATAATTATTATAACATTATTTATGGATCAAGAAATCATTATCCCTTATTTTGGTTCTTAATTTAGGTCTTTCAGGTATGATAAACATCATAAACCTTCGTAATGAAATTATCAATAAGGAAGCGGAATATCAAATGTTAAAAAAAGAGAAAGAAAAGTTTATGGAAGAGAATCGAGTGAAGCATACCAGTTCAGTAGAAAACTAAAGTTTGATTGTTTTACTATCAAGTGTTATATAAACACCATCATTAATTATATTAAAGAAAACTATAAATTGATAAAAATCTAAAGATCAGTTATTTTTTGTCAGGTCTTATTTACACATCATTATTATTGTTTAAAAAAAATTTTATGGTAAAAAAGAAAAAGCGATATAGAAAATTTTATTCTTACAAGTGAAAAAAATTGAGTCTGAGGAATAAAAAAAAAAAGTCATCTGTATGTAATGAATACCGAAATTTTCAGTATTACAAAATTGAATCCTTGTTCACCAAATTTAAAGCACCGGTGTTATTTACATAATAAAAGGAATGAAGATTTTGTGTGGCAAAAAAGGTACTAGCTTTCAACCACAATAAAAATAATCTACCTCAAGTTGTCCAAAAGGAAAAATGAATGATCTATTACATAATGATATTCTTAAATGATAGTCCATCAACACAGCCGCATCCAACATCTACAGGATAGTTACATCACCCTAATATCTGACATTGTCCAAAAATTTTTTTATAAAACTCCCTATTGTATTAATCCACTATTTCTTAGAACCTAATTGAGTATTAAGTCTCCGTTGCGAACTATTGCTATTACTGCCGCTTGATAAACCACCAAATTGAGGTGGTGGTTGTATTGGTTGTGGAGGTTTTACACGAAATTCGGCAAGGATTACGATATGGCTAAAAAAAACATACAATTATTATTAAAAAAACAATTTGATAAAAAAATAAAAAAGAGAATACTTGAAATTACTCACTCGGATGGGAAATGTGCGTTCGGAAATCCAACTATTTTTGACATGTATTCCTTGTCTACGCCACCCAAAATACCGGTGACGCATAATGTATTAGTAGAATACCAAACATAATCAATAACCCCAGTAAACCTAGGCGTGAAATTGGTAAATGGTAACTCCTCAATATTGGAATATGCAGATTTTAGTGAAAGCCTATGCTGCAAACCCTCCGATACATAAGAGCCATAAATATGATCGCCAAAATCGCAATGATCTTGTTTTATGATGCCACGCGAAAGAAATTCGTACACTCCAGAATCAGGAGTAGAATTGAAATCCCCACAAATAATAGTTGATATCTTTTGTGGTGAAGTATAATTGTAAATTGATTTGCTAGGTATATCACACCATTTTTGGGCAAGCTTGTCTAATTCATCCATTAGCATTGCTACTTGAACAAGTTTAACATCTGCATATGAAGGATCCCAATGAATATGGCAGTTTACAATAATAAGACGTGAAAAATTATCCTTATTTTCAAGCAATGTTACAACTGCAATATTGTCTTTGGTAATAACACGATTGAACATGTCTTCTGTTTTTTTAATATCGGGCCGCTGCAACGCAACTTGATTGAACTCAATCAATTGTTTATCGATTAATTTATATCTGTAACGATAATTCGATTAGCACATTTTAAATTTGTTAGTGGCAAAAAAGAAAAAAAAACCACAAGGTTTGAAATAATAAAATACTTTGAAGCCTTAAAAAACGTTGCGCATCCATCAACCGATTTCCTTTCCACATCTGTCATTGTCTTTGCACGCGATTTTGGCCAATATACGCTGTCATAATCTCCATACCTACTATATATATCCTTGAAAAATTCCTCATATTGTGAAGTATCAACTTCCTACATGAATTAAATAAGATATGAACAAAGAAACAAAATAAATAAATTATGGCGGTTTATGCTGAAATCGGTCTATTCCGAAATTTTGGCCTATTTTAGTAATATGAAATATTTTAAAATTTTTTTAGACCTTTAGAGTTAGAATACTGTTATAAATAAAAGAGTATATGAATTTAGTAGATATTATAGATTTATATAGGGGCTCGAATTTCCGCACAAGCAAATTTTCAGTATAAACCGCCACAATGAATAAACAGCGATACATTATATTAATTCACCTGAAGGCATATGATGTCCGCTTTATACTTCAGTACTTCACGCTTGATCCGTTCTTTTCGATAATCCCACGAAAGGGCCCACGAAGGTGTATAACCATATAATTGAGTAGTGGCGTATTTTTCACATAGGATATTATAGCAAAGGAGCGTAAAGGTATCTGCTTGGCATAGAAAAACAAATCAATCCAATAAAAACACCATAATGAAAATAGAGTATGGTATACCATTTGTGGCTTTGGTCACCATTTCTTTACCATGGTGGACAACCAATGTCCTGTTACTGGGGACATACCACGATCTCCACCAGCGGGTTCACTCTCTAACGTTATCCAGTCCCTTTCCATTGGAGGTGGTGGTACTGATGATATTAAATAGGGATTTAGTAACCATGTATGCTACTAGCATATGTATAATTTGAATAATATTAATATACACACCTTGACAATTCTCTCGTAAAAATGATACAACAGCTGCCGTACCTTCCTTTTGTAATATGGATTTGATTGCCTCATTTATCGGGTTTCCTTCCAACCCGAGCGTCTCCAATTGATAAAGTGTGCCCAACTCAAAAGGTAAAGTTACGATCATGTTGTCAAACATCAAAAGATCTCTTAAATTCGTCAGCATACCTAACTCAGGTGGTATAGATGATAATTTATTACCAGAGATATCTAGTAAGGTAAGATGTCTTAACTTGGATATTTCCGAAGAAATGTATGTCAAGTTGTTATGATTTATATAGAGAGTTGTGAGGAAGCCGTATTGGAATAGTTCTTTACTAATATTTTTGAGGCCCATACCACCCAGATCAATAGTCTTCCATTGTTGAAAAGGTAGATCGTGCTTATCTCCATTGGTCTCTTTTTTTGAAAGCACGCCATTCACTGGTGGTTTATTTGGATTATTTGGATCGGTTATTGCGATTGCTGAGCTGCCAAGGCTGCTGTTACGAGCGGCAGCAGCAGCTTGTCGTGCATGGTGGTGAGGTGTAGCCGACTGACGAGATAACTGAGCATAATTTAGTTGTTGTTGCCAATGTGTCGTATTGACAGCACCTAAGTTGTTTGTCGTTAAAATGTTGGTTACACCTGGAGATAACAACTGTGGTTGAGTAGAAGCAAATGTCGGCGGAGACATTAAAGCTTGTCCGGGAGATCCAGTGGTTTGGTTAAGGAGCGAATGTGGACCAAATGCGTGTCCCATAGACGGTAATTTCGATTGATATGAAAACAGGTGCATGCTACCACCATAAATTGCTGGTACACCATGAGGAGCAAGGTAACCGAGAGACGGTGAAGTCTGACCTGGAGACGTTGCAGGCGGTGACGGCGTATGTGCGGGAGAATGTACTGGGGACACCGGGCCATTTGGGGAACCGTTTGGCTGATAGATTATGTGGGGAAAAGGGTTCATTTTCAAGTCGATGCTTTCTTCTGCAACACTGCAAAGAATGATGATGAAAATGATGGTTAAAGTTTGTACTACCTAATATTTGATTGGTTGTTTTTTTTACATCATCCACACTTACAAGACCAAACTTTTAAAAAATTTTTTGAGACTATTTCAGCAATATAAAGTATAGATAGCAGATAAACAAACAGTATAATTGTTACACGGATAATTTTTATGGGAATTTGATTTACTTTTGAAAATTTTTTAATTTATTTCATTTTTAACATTATCTTGAGTTTTGAAAACTCATGAGAAAAGATTTCATGATGCCATGACCGAGTAATCTTCTGAATTTGTATTCTGTAGTAATTCTACTTGCACGGAGTAAGACTCCCATAAATTAATAATCTAAAAAATTAAGACGAAATAAGAAAAGTCATCATGAAAAATAAAATCGATTAATTTATATACCTCTTTTTGTGTCTGCACCATTGATTCTAAAAAGGCTTCAACGCTATTCTTAAAATCTTCTACCTTCTCCTTATCAAACCGATCCAATTCAGCCTTAATAAGCTTAGAAACATCTTCAAATTCGTGTTTACAATCTTCCACGCGATGTTCAGACTAAATAAGAATATGAGCGTTGTAAAACTCAAACTACAGAAGATACACATGACAAGAAATATTAAAGATAAGCGTTTCGCACCTCAGCAATTTGCGCCAACATGATCGATAATTTATCCTGGCTCATCCTTCCTTGAGCTTTTGACCTTTCATAGTTCGTCTTTTTCTTTTGTAAATCGTATATAGCATTCTGCCATGTCTGATAGATCTTGGAACGAGAATTGAATACAACCTGCGCAAAAAAACAAATATAAAAAAAAAAACAAAAAAAGAAAAGAGACAAGGCATACAACAAATGTAAACCGCTAACCTTAATCGATCCAATCAAACGAATGTATTCGTCTATCGTGTTTCCCAAATTAACAACATCCTGTTGTGCCTGATGACAACTAAAATATTTATAATTTGAAATTATGCCACAGTGGATTTACATTAATCACCAACCTGCTTTTCATGTAATTCCTTAATTTTCTGTTGCAAGTCTCCTAATATCTTCAGATTATTTGCTAATGGATTATTAATTTCAGTGTTTGCTAAAGACAAAATACTATCCCCAAAATCCACGATCGTACTTCCCAAATCTTTAAGAAAACTGATTTAATGAAAAAAATTGATGAATTTGTACTAAAAAAGAAATAGAAATAAATACCTTTGCGCTGTTTGACAATGGCTTCAACTGATTTAAGCAATGCCCTTAATTGCGAATCTAAAATGTCCAACTCATTTTTTCGATTTTCAACCCACTGACAGAGATTAAATGTAATCAGTAATTCTGGACATTTGAGATTTTAATGATTAAAAGTCATGAGTTTACTTCATCTGTTTCTACAAATTTGCTGAATGTGGTGGCGTTTGACACTGCTTCACCTAATGATTTCAATACACTTTTTGATTCATCTTGACTTTTACGTTTGACCTGTTATAAAATAGTCTGTATATTATTATTTATTATATAATTACAATTAAAAAAACTAGCTTATAAACTTTACATCGATCGTAAAGGTATCCGACTCTAAAAACAATTTTAAATTTGGATCGTTGCATAACATCGGGTGAGACGTGATTTTATTCAAACACTTTTCGAGTGCTTGGCGACGGTTTTCTACGAATTCATCCTGAAATCGGCCTGCGTTAAGTTATTTATTTGGAAATTAAAGTCTAATATTTGCAACTTTTATTATATTAACAGTCCTTACCAATGACATGTTTCCCTGGTACAGGAGGAACTATGATTCCTGGATTATTGAGCGTCATTTGATTATATAACCACAGAAAATCACGATATCGTCTTAAAACTGTAAATTCTTTATCTTTAAATGCTGTAGATGTAGTCTGCAATTGAGATCGTGGATTTAATAATATGCATAATAATGTTTTTTTACTCCATCATTCAAGCATACCTTAGTTCGGACTTTATATATAATATGCGCATTGATGGGATCGCCAATTTTTTGCGGATCTTCAACTGCAATTTCAAATATCGGAATAGACTCTCCAATCCCATGAAAATTCGTCTTAAAAGTTTTATTAATGCGAAATTCAAATTATTAATGGTTAAAATAACTTATTACTTTAATTACCTGACTTGAATTCAGACTGAAACTTGCTATTTTTGATTGCACATGTGGTTCTCTTATAATAATGCTTTCTTCATCAATAGACTCGTCACTGTTGCTAATTTTTTCATGAACGTGACCTTCTGACGAAATTGACGAAACCGCATCTATCCCTTTAAAGGAAGATGCTTCTTCGAAATCCCGTTCCTCGTCAAATTTGATTTCCATACTTTGTACTTCAGAATCAGAGTTCAAGCTATCGTTCAATAGATTATTATAAGTAGGTTCTATATGTAAATCAGTAGTGACCTTATCGCTATCATCAGATAAGGGGCTTATTGGTGCAGTCAAAAGTGATACAGCGTCACGAAATGGATTAGACAAGTCTACATTGCTCAAGGTTTCAGATATATTATTGCTTGCTGGTTTGTGCAAGAGGTCATCGAAGTTATTTTCGAATTCAGTTATATCAGTCATTTTGGCAAGACAAGTTTATTTCAATTTGAAATTAAATTATTTAAATTAATTTGTTGGCTTAACGTTTTAGCCAATCAAATTACAAGATCTGGTGTAACGTAACCCAAAAATTTTGATTCTTCATTCTGATCGATTTAATGAAGAATCTGATTGGCCTATCTGATCAAACTAGCCAATCAGATTCTGTTGAGAGAAGTGGTTAAGGTTGTTTTCAAGCAGCTGCTTATTCATTATGCAAAAATGCGGATTTTACTAATTAGAGTAACTATAAAAAAAAAAAAAATAGTTGCTAGGTTTAGGTTATACAACTTATTTTTTAATCAATAAAAAATTATTGTCACAGCTAATACTGAAATTTTTTTTATATTTTATTATAAAATTATAAAAAATTTTTTTACACTTCTTTTTCATAGTTAGGTTAGGGTTAGTAGGGTAGTTTTATTAATAAAAAAGTATATGTGGATTTTAGTAGGTATTATAGATTTAAATAGAGACTCCAAATTTCAGCATCAGCTGCGACAATTATTATTATTTTTTTTAAATATACTGTTATATTAGTATTATATTAGTATTTTAAATTTTCTATTATTCATCTATGTGTAACTACAGTACTAAGTGTAGTACAAATATTATTTAACCAATAGAATCCTTAGTATTAGTTTTATTAGTATAGTTTTTATAGTTTTTCATTTAAACCAATAGTTAATGAGTAATTAGGTCTCGTTGGCTAGTCTCTTTGGCTAGTTTCTTTAACTAGTCTCGTTAGTTAGTCTCTTTGGTTAGTCTCTTTAATTAGTATATTTGACTAGTATCTTTGACAAGTCTCTTTGACAAGTCTCTTTAACACAATAGTACAATAACATGAACTATAATTAGTAATTATTTAGAATTGTAAAAGATATATAAACTTGGCCTTTTTGCCTAAGGCTTGGGTAGATTTTGTTTTAGATTTTGTCTTAGATTTTGTCTTAGACTTGGTCTTATATATTTTCTTCTTTTTATCTAATAAACTGATATTATCTTGGAAATACTCACTTTATACATGATTTATACTCTGTTATTTTCTTTATAGCGAAATTATTGTCTTTTTATTATTCTTTTATTATCCTTTTACTATCTTGTTAGTTTTTTTTTAGTGTTTACTTCATGTTATTCACATTTCTTACCCTTTGATACTAAGTTAAGTAATATAGTTTACTGTTACCAAAGTCTACTATATTACAATACTAAGTGGTCATGTCGCAACCAGTGTTTAAAATTCAATGTTCTCAATATTCTTAATGAACATTCAATTTTTTTTAAGAACATTAATATTAAAAATAATGTTCTCTTATTTAAGAATATTTTGTTCTTCTAAAATATTCTCAAAGAGAATATTTAAAAAATTTTATATTCACAATTTTATTAATAAGAACAGTAAGTTATATAAAATATTCTAATTTTAAAGGTAGAGTACATGTCGATCATTTTATATATTATTTTATTGTACAAAAAAAATTTTTATATTTGTATTTATAATGCGCAATTAGTAAAAAAATTTTAACTGCAGTCGATTCTTACCAAGATCTTTTAGCATATAGATTTGATCCTTCTATTTGTAGTAGTAAAGTTTTAAACTCTTATATCTTTTAAAAAACTTAAGTGCTTATATTACCAAGTCCTTCTAGGACAACTAATAATCTTTCTAGATAGCACAAGATAAGAATGGTTTTCTAGAACCATAGAATTTTAATCGTCTAACCTCAAAATTTTCAAATTTAGAAACGTATATGCATCATGTACGTATGTATATAAATACCCCTGTTTCAAAAAGCGAAGCTATTAAAGACCGTTTTAAAGAAAAATTGATATGTATCACTTTCTTAGTAATTATTATAGCTTCTCTAATAGCATATTTTTTTTATTGCAAAATGGAATTTTTTCTTACTTCTTATAATACTATTTCTGATATCAATATCTTCACCGCTTTATATAAGCAAGTTGAAACAGGAGATTGGACAGACAACAAAGATGAAGAATTAGAAAATTTCAAGGAAACTCTCAATAGGGTGATATGCTGGGTAAAAGATGCCAGAGATAATGAGAGACTAGAACTGCTTGAAAGTTTCAGGAAAGGTGGCTTTTTGGAACAACGTATAAGTTATAGTTATTACTAGCTTAGAACAAATTTACTCGATATGATGAAAGGTTAGTTTTTTTGAAGGAGTTGTAGATATATATATATATATATTAATAAATATATTAATAAATTTATAATAAATTGAGGGATAGGGTTTAAAGTTTCTATTACTCCTTATTACCGATGTGGATGACACATAAGATAGTTTATAAATAGCAAATGGACTTGGTTTCTCGATTACATACAGAGGAAACGTTGAAAGTAGCTATTTATATGCATAAAATGCCGTATGCAAATTCTACAAAGATGTATTTATTATTAGCCGGCTAATTTGAAATTTATATAGAAAAAAACCCCCCAATCTGATCATATATACAGTACATGGATGCTATTATATAATTAGCTTTATTTTGGATATTTATTTGGTTGTTTATTTTAGATATTGAACACATTCGAATACATTCGTATTTTATTAGAAATGAACATTTTGGTAAGTTTATTCAATTATTTTAAAAATTCTAATCAAAGTTCTATAGTAATATATATATATACTGTATATAGAATATAGAAATATCTTGGGTAGTTGATGTGAAAAAAAATTTCAAAAATCTAAAATTACAAGTGATGCAGGTTTATTTTTATAAATTAATATTAATTTGTTTAAGAAACTATTTGTAAATAAACTAATGAATGTATAAATAGTTGTTATCAAAAAAATCAGGGGTACAAAAACTATATAGGAAGATGTAGAAGAATAGTTATGTACAATCGATGTAGAGGACTTAGAATACGACCACCCCTTATGCTCAGGAATCCTAGATGATACTTTAACCCCATTTACAGATATATCAGAACGATCCGTAAAGGCTTTTAGAAAGCCGAGTATTGAAAAATTTAAAATACCACCAAATTCCACATTAAAGGGCATTTGTGAAAAGTTTGTTCGAAAAGAAAAAGAGAAGTATTGTAAACCTTTTCAAAAAGTTGGAGATCCAGAGTTTAAAAAATTTTTAGATAAATCTGAAAAATTGTGCAAATTAACAAATCAAATGTTAACAGTGCTAAGTCAGGTTTGAATTTCGCCTAAGTGGAAGATGGCATGCAAGAGTAACAAATTGTCTTCTATAAATGAGGGGTCGTATGTATCAGAAGTTTTATCACTATTAATAAATATTATAATGAGTGATTTACCAGTAGATTCTAATATATGGGGAATATGGTATATACATTATTTTTTTAATAATTTTATTTTGTTATTTTTACTTTGTATATATTATACAAATATTAACATTCTTATAAGGGGAGAAAAAGCAAGCTCAGCTAGTGCAGAGAGGAAGAAATCATATAAGTAGGCAAGGAGTCCTGATTATTTGGTTGTTGCACCATTTAATAGTATAGATGTTGAAATTGGATACCTTGAAACAGGTCGTCTGAACTCATCTTTTGACAAACAAATGCAGGACCAAAAAAAATTAAATAGGCTTGCTAAAGATTCTATTGATACATCTAAGAAACAAAAAATAAGGAGAAAAGTTAAAATGTTGTCAATGCACTACTTGACAATATTTACAATCAACGTTGCCGGAGATACCTTGGAGTTTCGCTCTGTGCGCAAAGATTCTGGTTTATTTAGAGTTTTATTGCTTGATCGAGCAAAAATTTCTTTAGATATTCTATCAATGAATCCAAAGCAAGTTTATTCTCTGATCTATAACTTACTTTCTTTTAGAACAGCAATTGCATGCACTGTGCATAAAATATTGTATGGTCCTAAAAATACTATGGAAACGGAATCAGTTATTTCAACATCCTCAAATATGTCAATATCAACGCACTCAACTGTTTCATCACCAACACACTCATCACAAAAAAGACCTTTCATTGAAATAACACGGTAGTAAATATTTAATTTATATATATAATTTATAGATTATATACCATATCCTATCATGAATAAGCCCTTATCCCACTTTTTTAAATATCAGATTAGCAGTAATAATTTGGCTAAAGACTTCATTACAATTTCCGCTAATCTGATATTTAAGAAATTGAGGTATAGGGTATAGTGCTTATTCACGATAGGATATGATAAGTTAGATAATTGTAAAATACGTTATAATAAAGAGACATTATTTACCTTAAAGCCACAGATAAATTTACATTTCATTTTGCATTTGTGGGTGAATTTGTTAAATTTTGCTTAAATTTTTATTTATTAAAAGTTTGTGTTTATATTTTTGAAATTGTAAAATAAGTACATTATATTTTTATTGGCATATCATTTTTAAATTATCACTAATTAAAAAAAAAAAATATTTTTTATATTTATTAATCATGCTATATGATAACTTTTACAAGCTACTTTAATGAAACAACAAACTATTTGATAAAGAGCATAATAAAGCACAAAGTGTATTATTTTCTGATAATAACTCCTTTTTTGATTTATTTGATATTTTTAAGTTTTGTCGAGTACCAGCATTTTGTAAAATTTTCATTAGCGCCACGGTTTATCAGATTGAACATTCAATTCTTTGACAATTCCTATTTTGAAAAAAACTCAATATTTGAAATTTGGTTATATGTAATTTGATGAGTTATAAAATTACCAGATCCATTACATTCGCCAATTTTAAACCCTATAATTGGTATAATAATTGAAATTTGTATACCAAAACTTTATCCTATTGTGGACCCGGGTATAGTCTACTATTTAGAAGGATTTTGTATCCGACCATTTACTATAATAAATGTCACAGTACTCACAATCACAATAAAGTAAAGCATAACCATCTCAACACAGAAAAGAGTTTTTTATAACTTTTATTAGTATTTGCTGAAAGCAATATTACATTTGACTTCTAAATTATTTACATCAAAATTATATCAAAATTACATCAAAATTACATAAAATTACATCAATTATATCATTAATTTCCTATACTATAGCTACACACATTTTTCATGCATTCTAATTGATCGCTTTCATCATTGATTACTCTCCAACTGCGAAAAGTATTTTATTATTTTTTTTACTTATTATTTTCTGATACATTGCTAATTTCTCTTTCTATCAATTGTTATACTGCATATCATGTATCTTGAATATTTGACATGTTCGAAATCATTTTTTTAAAAAAATCTTTTAATACATATTAAAAAATTTCATTAGTACTGTTACAAGATCTCCCTAAATAGTAGATAAAGTTTTGATAAATTATAAAAGACCCAGTGTATATAAATAGAAAAACTAAGAAAATAGATTAGATCTTTCAATTATCAGACCCACACTCATATGAAAGACCTGCAGGTCTAATTATAAGTTTTGAAAATTAGTGAAATGTAACAGACCTTTTTATAATACACTGCATTTGATAGCGACGTTAGTAAAATTGGCTTTTTAACAAAGCCATCCTCTTTAAATTTTTTCTGTTTAATGTTCGAGGCAATCTTTCGAATCTTTAAAAAAAATTATATAATTAAAAAAAAATCTTAAAAATAAAGTTTCTAAGCATATGGCGATTTATATTCAAAAGTTCTTAGCCTTGGCGATACGGAATTGTGCTTATCCCTTAAGCTGTAGAGTTCATGTAACAATTTTAGCTTAAAAATAGCATAAATTTAGTTATGATCTATTTTTTTT